TCCTGGAGGATACATGAAGTGAGCCCAAGGCCACACAGGGGTGTCATAGGGGAAGTATAGACCTGGTGTTCTGTTTTTATTTACATTGAGAGTGGGTGGGCAGCCCCAGTGGCTTAGTGGCTTAGCGGCTTAGCGGTTTAGCGCCGCCTGCAGCCCTGGGTGTGATCCTGGAGACCCGGGATCAAGTCCCGCATCGGGCTCCCTGCATGGAGCCTGCTTCTCCCTCTGCCTGTGTCTCTGCCCCTCTTTCTCTCTCTCTCTCTGTGCCTCTCATGAATAAATAAATAAAATCTTAAAAAAAAAAAAAAAGAGTGGATGCCTAGGATTTTACAAGCTCATTCTTTACTGCTGAATTTAAAACAGAACATTGGGAATTAGGGCCTGCAAAGGGAAAAGCAGGGTCATGCAAGCAGTCAGTTATAGAGGTTACTCAGGGCTTTCTAAAAGGGGAATTTCATGATTTGGAGTGGCCTGGCTTCTTAACCAGGTGTTTTACTGGTAGCTGTGTCATGCAGCTGGCAATATGTTTGTGCAAGATGCATGTCTTTGAAATGGATATCTTGGCAATCAAAAACTTTTTTAAAAAAAGATTTTATTTATTTGACAGAGATAGAGAGATTGGAAGTGGCAGAGGCAGAGGGAGCGACAGGCTCCCCGCCAAGCAGGGAGCCCCACGCGGGTCTCAATCCCTCGGCTTCACCACTTGAGCCAAAGGCAGACATTAAACCAACTGAAACTCCCAGACACCCCAGCAATCAAAAACTTAATGTCAGGCATGTACACTACATAACCTTAGCTACCAAGTACTTCTGATATCACAGTAAGCTCCATGAAAGAAGGGACTATTTGGTGGTCGTCCACTGACATATTTCCAATTCCTAGAACAGGGAAGGCCTAACACATAGTTGGCCATCAATAACTATTTGTTAAATGAATGAATGCTAACTTAGTTGGTAATCCTATTGGGAACACAAGAAAAGGGAAAATGAGTAAGACTTGACTGTGAAACTAGCGTAAGAACAAGAAAAGAAAGCAAATCTTTAAAACTAGAGAAAATTTTATGACATATGTATGAACTCGTGCATAATTTCTATTACTAACCCTGAAATAACCAACACTGCTGGTTCAAACCAGAAGTCATACAGAGTCATAAATACTTGCAGGGCTAACAAACAAGGGGTGGGGGCCTTTGTACTCGTCTTCATGAAAGAGACTACTTCCAGTGGAGGGAATTAGAGATGGATAGAAAACTCTATATTTTGTGACATGAAACCAAGAAAGCCCTAGAGATCACTGATGTTTTCAGAAATGCTCTGACACGGTATAGAAGGCTGCCTGACACAAGGGATCCATTGATAGGCATGATTTTTTTTTAAGATTTTATTTATTTATTCATGAGAGATACACAGAGAGAGGCAGACACAGGCAGAGAGAGAAGCAGGCTCCCTGCAGGAAGCCTGATGTGGGACTCGATCCCAGGACCAGGATCACACCCTGAGCCAAAGGCAGCAGCTCAACCGCTGAACCACCCAGGTGTCCCTATAGTCATGATTTAGCAGTGACAAAACTGCATAGCAACAAGTTAGCCAAGAGATGCTTAGTCATTACAGAATACTTGAGTTCATAGTTACACTGAAGGAAAACTCAATCTAAAGGTTGTAATAGGGTGCCTGGGTGGCGCAGTGGTTAAGCTCCTGCCTTTGGCTCAGGTCATGATCCCAGGTGGCCGGGATTGAGTCCCACATCGGAACTCCCTGCTCAGCATGGAGCCTGCTTCTCCCTCTGCCTGTTCCCTCTGCCTGCTTTCTCTCTCTCTCTCTGTCTGTCAATACATAAATAAATAAAAATTTAAAAAAAAAAAAATAAAGGTTGTAATAGGGTGCATGGGTGGCTCAGTTGGTTAAGCTTCTGCCTTTGGCTCAGGTCATGATCCCAAGGTGGTGGGATTGAGCCCCTCATGGAACTCCCTGCCCATGGAACTCACCCTGCTCAGCACCCTGGTGAACATTAGTTTCATGCTCAATGTAAGAATGGTTGCATCTCTGTAGTCTTCTGAGACTGCATTTATGTTGATAGGGGGAAAAGTAAAATTTGACGCAAGATTTAGTGTACAAGGAGACAAAAAACTTTATATGTTTTTCAAATTCATCAAGCTTTTCAAATCATTTTTTTCTTATGAAGATTGCCCTTAAGGTTCTGAATAGGACATAGATTACTCCAGACAGCAATACCTAGGGTCTTGAATGACAGAACTTGGGGGGGGGGGGGACTGTGTGATGATGCAGAAGTCCACTAAAGGTGTCCTTGGCTCAGAGGAGACGGGGCCTAGTCAAGATCTTGGTAGGAGAAGCCACCTACCAATAGTAGATAAATCACCTGAGACATTGAGAAAATTTGCATTCTTTTCTCAGAGATCAGTAGAGATATGGGTTTCTATCTGATAGATACATTCACTAAAGTTTGAGAAAAATGTCTTGCTGTGCTTGATTTATGGTCTATCAGATGCCTCCAGTACTAGACCTAAAGATTAGAGATGCAACTATTTCAGCAATAGAAACAGGTTATTTGTTCCTCTCCTATAAGTCACCTGGGTGGACAAATTGAAACAAGCAGTGATTACACCAGATTCTTTAAATGAACATTTATTTGGTGGGTGAGAAAGACAGTTAACAAGAAATCAGTGACAATATCTATCTTTCCTTAACACTATGGTTCCAGAATAGGATATAATCACAAGTATTTCTTCTCCAGATTGTATGGGATGGACAACACGTGTATGGGAATTGACTCTTCTTGGCTGGTGATTCGACTGCTGCTGAGTCCCCCACAAAGGCTCTTGTTATGGGGAAAGTAGAGGTTCAGGGCTTGATCTCACTTGCTGTTCAGATATACAGATTACAATACATCAATTGCAATAAGGTCCAACCCATGACCTTATCTTCTCATACTAATCCTTTGCTGAATTTCTTTGTCAAGAAAGGGGACCCCATTCCTTAGAGTTCTATCTCCCTCACTTTGCTTACGTAAGTGTGGACTCGCTCCTAGTTAAAAATTTACACACTTACCCCTAAGGCCCACTTATTAGAAACAAGAGTTGCTCACAAATTGGCTTAATTACTTTGTCTTGCCTATCAAAGAAAAGTTTAATAAAACTAAAAACTAAATAATATTTTTGGTTATCATCTTATAAAGAGCATGAGATTATCTTTAAGTCATTTATATGATAGGATATCTAAAACAAAACCAACTCAATATCTGAATCTAAATGTATCCAGCTTGATTTACATATTCCCTTTTACCAAGGCCAGATAATTACAGTGTCAGTATTAGGTTAATTCCCAAAATAGTGCATGTACATTTTATTTTGTCAAACGTAAATTACTTCATAAAAAGAGTAAAATATTTCTTACCATTAAAATTATTATCATTATTGTTATTGAACACAGAAGCACCATATAGCCTAGATGTGTTTGCAGTTTAGTTTTCTACATACAGCGAGGGAGGATGGGGAGGAATGTTAATAATTCTAACATCATTCTCAGCTTCAGGGAACAGCCCTAGAGCAGTGCCAGTACCTATGGCTCCATCAAGATTAATTTACAACCCATGCATTAATCATTGTTTAATTACAACTTTCTGTTTCTTTAACACAATCTAAAGAATACATCAAAGGTAAACTCTAAGAAAGAATTCTTCATTTTTCAAGAATTCCATTATAGATACCTGCATAGATTCTATATAATATAATCTATACCATCATATCCAAAATTTTATAATAAACTTTCCTAGTCTTAACCTTACTTACAATTTGTCATTACCTTATCTAAATTTAGATTACTATAGTCAAAACAGCACCATATATACATATATATGTACATATATTTATGCACATCTAACACTTACATTAAACATATGGTGTTGTTATAAATTTTTCTTTTGACCTGTTTCTATTTGTTTCTCTAAGAACTCTAGTAACCAGACTGCAATAAGAAATATGTGCACACACACAAACATAATCATTCTCAAAATGTAATTATGATATTTTTATAGTAGCAACAAGTATGATTTTGAATTATGGAATAATTTTTGTATTTTTAATTCTGTTACATAGTATGGTAGAAATATCAATATCTATCACTCTGAAAATAATATTGTATATCCTGAAATTTAGCAAAATTAATAAGTGCCAAGATACATCAAACATGTTTGATTTGGAATTTCAAATTAACATTAGCATTATAAGCATGTTTCTAGTTTATTTAGCACTATGAATATTATTTTCCAACACCTCATTCCCATGTTATCAATAAGACCTCTAATGACAACAATGAAAAACTTTTTCACAAAAAAAAAAAATATATATATATATATATAGGGAATTGCCTGAGTAACTCAGCAGTTGAGCATCTGCCTTTGGCTCAGGGTATGATCCCGGGATCCGGGATTGAGTCCCACATCAGGCTCCTTGTGGGGAGCCTGCTTCTCCCTCTGCCTGTGTCTCTGCCTCTCTCTGTGTTTCTCATGAATAAATAAATAAAATCTTTTTTAAAAATTAAAATTAAAATAAAAAATAAAATAAAATAGACCTTTAAACTTTGAAGTCATGTTTTTCCCATCTATAACGTAGTTGCTCAATTAATTTTTCTATCAATATTTTGTAGATCATTTACTTAGTGAAGTTTGTAATTTATCTTGATTTCTAAAACATGACATGCCTCTTCTCCCCACATGAGTATAATAATTAAGTACATCTTTTGCATATAAAATGTAATAATTTGGATTCTTTTGAAAAGAACACTTGAGATTTTAAAATATTGGTAACCAATGTTTTAAACAAAAATGAATACTTTTAAAATTATATTGGCTGACCATGTGTCAGTTATCAAAAGCAACATTTTCTAGGGAAAATTTCAATAATGCTCAACAGTGTTTAAAGGAACCCAGCAGAAAAAAACAGTAGAAGTGAAATAGATCCTCAAAGACTCCTCATTAAGTATTCATCATTGGAAAGATTCTGGAAAGTCTATCGGTAAAGATGAATTTGGTTTTTCTCTTTTCAGGGAGCTTTTAAGATGCCACAGTACCTTCAAGGCTGTCTGTCTCAGCTTGCTGTTTCCCAGAATCAAAATTAGTGAGTGGCTTGAGGGAAAGACATAAACGGCCAACATGATAAACTTTGTGATCTTCTTGTTCCAAAATAAAAAAAACATCCAATTTGACAATTGTATGGAAAAAAAGTGAACTGTGAAAAGGAAGAGGAAAGACATCACCATTTTAATGGCTTTTTTATGGGCCTGTGTGCTGGAATCCCTGGAGCCCATGGAGTTGAGCTGCAAATTTCTGATGTGTTTTACCAAGGACAGAAATAAAAGGAGCAATGAGGTCAGGGACAGAATAATAGGAATGATATAGGAAAAACTAAGAAGAATCAGGGTTTTAACATAAAAAGTTTTACTTTCATTTATATATAAAGTCAGATTACTTTCATCCATTGCATCGACATTCAAGAAGAGATCATTGAATGTTTCTAGCATTAGAAAGTCAAACAGTAGAAAGAACAAAGAAAATACAAGAATTGCAAGAACCACTCTGTTCATTCTCCACCTCAGCCAGAGGAAAAGGGAATGAGAGAACTGAGCTATCTTAAGGACGTAGAAAATGCTTAGGCAGGTACTAAACCACGTAGCCAAATGATGAGTTATTCTCCAAAGCAAAGTAATAGATTTTGCCAGTTTATAAGTAGAAAAGAAAAGTGGAGATAGTCCCATCATAAATGATTCAAACCATGACACCAACAGCTGAGCGATTCTGGAGATAGCCAAGCAGATGAGGATGAAGTCAGCTAAAGAGATTTTCTGGTTCTTGACCCATTCAGAGCAGTTTACCAGTCCAATGAACGCATTCCCCAACATTCCAATTATGAATTCTGCTGTTGACAGTGTAAGAAAAATTATATCCAATCCAGCTAACATTTCCACAGAAAAAAATCCAAATTTCTAATACTGTGTCTCATTGATAAATTTATGATCAAACTATTTCAGAATAATATCCATTTCTGACAGTTATATTCACTGGTTTTATTGCAATTCCAATCTTAAGCAGAATCTCCTGTTGTTGGGTACAGTCATATACATATATACATATATACATATATATATATTTAAAGAAATCTTTCTGCTTTTATTGTAATGCCGATCTTAGATCTGCTAAAGTGCACAGTCTCACATAGTTTCATGAAGATGCTTTTATTTATTTGAAAGGGCTACTAATTTCCAAACCAAACAGTATGTGTTTCTATTTATGATTGGCAAGGATTCAAATTTTCCATTAGAGGTAATGATTACAAGGTTTAAGTCAAATTCGTTAGCATGCAAATATGGGTCAGATTCTTTTTCACTGATTTGTGAAAAAAGTAATCTCACCTGAAATACAATACCATTTAAATCCAAATATTTTAGTTGCTTTTCATAGAAAGCTCTGAAATAGTCTAATAATAATCTAAATCTAAGTAATCTAGTCTAAAATTTAGTTATAATTCAGTGACTATATCTTGAGTGCCTGCTATGCATTAGACCCATTTCTCAACGCAATATAGTTTACTACCAAAAAAAGCATTAGGAAATTCATAAAATAGTGAAAACACAGAAACAATAAGAAGTAAGAATAAAATGCAATGTGAACACAAAAAAGGGTAAGTACAAATATTACTCTTGGAGAAAGAGAAAAAAATGATACTTACCTTGGATTGTATAGATAACTAGAATTTCATGAGGGAACTGCTAAGTTATATTTTGGATTGATCAAACACAAAAAGATAGCAAAATCCAAATTACTTTTCTGAAATTAAACTCTTCTCACTGATAATTTACTGTAATTACAATCTAAATGTTCTTTTTGTAAAAATTTTACTTATTTATTCATGAGAGACACACAGAAAGAGGCAGAGACACAGGCAGAGGGAGAAGCAGGCTCCCTGCTGGGAGCCCACTGTAGGACTTGATCCTGGGACCCTGGAGTCACAACCTGAGCCAAAGGCAGACTGATGCTCAACCACTGACCCACCCAGGTGTCCCTCCCAGTTTTGCTTTTTATCTTTGTACTTGTTTTGTTTGTTTTGGCCAGAGATATAATGCTATCCATTTAGCCTTAATAGATAGAAAATAAAAAATCATTTCAGATTAAATAAGGAAATAGTAAACAAAAGTATCTGTTCTGTATTCTAGGAACAATGATTTTGACAAAAGTCATCAATGTATCAGAAATTAATTTAAAGTTACAGACTTTGTGTCTTGATGGCATTAAGTATTCACGTGTTGCCAGACAACATCCAAAATAATGAATACAATCATTAAAAATAATACTTGGGGGGATCCCTGGGTGGCGCAGCGGTTTAGCACCTGCCTTTGGCCCAGGGGCGATCCTGGAGACCCGAAATCGAATCCCACGTCGGGCTCCCGGTGCATGGAGCCTGCTTCTCCCTCTGCCTGTGTCTCTGCCTCTCTCTCTCTCTCTCTGTGTGTGTGACTATCATAAATAAATAAATAAATAAATAAATAAATAAATAAATAAATAAATTTAAAAAAATTAAAAAAATAATAATACTTGGCCCTTTTCAGTACTCCAGAATTAAATTCTATTAATTTTTAAGTGTATATATTAAGAACAATGATGTACAATGAGTTATTGGTAAATTATCTTGTATGACAATTTTTAATTTAGGACAAATATTTAAAATTATAAGAAGAAAGAGAAAGAAAGAAACAAGGAAGGAGAAAGGAAGGAATTTATTGCCTAGAGCAAGGCTGAAAGAAAATAAACTTGGCAGTAGTATTTTTCAAGAGGAGAATGATAGCTTTGACCAGATTAATATCTGGAAATAGAAATTCATGGCTATAATAAGCATTTAGAGGGTAGAATTAGTAAGTCTTAGTGACGGGCTATAAAAAGGAAAAGAAGCCAGCACATCTGGGTTTCTTCTTTTGCATGTAGATGCGTGGAGTACTGGGACCTGACAGAATCCCTGGAGAGAGAGTAGGTTTAGAAACAAAGGAGGAAGACAAAAGAAAAGTTGGAGGATGATGAGTTCTGTTTTGAACATTTTTGGAATGTCTGTAAGTCATCTAAGTAGAAAGATGGGGTAGGCACTTGGGTATTTGTGACTGCAGCTCAGAAAAGAAATTTAGATTATAAGCAAAGAGTTGGGAGTCATCAGCACATACTTGGTGCCATAAGAGGTGATGAACTCCAAGGCCCTGAGAAACAGCAGAGGATGAAGAAAAGCAAAAAGCAGTCAGAGAAGGGAAACCAAGAGGATAAGGGTTTCAAAGCAACCAAGAGTAAAGAGTGTTAGAAAGAGAAAGTAACACATACTTCCTGATATTAACAAAAGGGTCTCTTAGAAGGGGGTAGCAAGGAAGTCCTAAGTATAGAAAAGTATAGAAAACTAGAAAAAAATAGTTCAGGGGCACCTGAATGGCTGAGTGGTTGGCCATCTGTCTGCTTTTGGCTTGCATCGTGATCCCGGGGTCCTGGGATTGATACCGCATTAGGCTTCCTGCAGGGAGCCTGCTTCTCCCTTTGCCTATGTCTCTGCCTCTCTGTATTTCTCATGAATAAATATATAAAATCTTTTAAAAAAGAAAAAGAAAAATTAGTTCAACTGATTAGAAACTGAACTGCCATGTCAATGTGATCCCAATAATGAAGCATTAGAAAACCAGTTAATGTAATCAACACAATAATAGATTAAAGGAGAAACACCAGGGGGAAAAAAGTGTAATATAAATCTATATTTATTTATAATAAAGATTCTTAGCAAACTGGGAATAGAATGTAATATTCTTTATCCCGATAAAAAGTTGTGCACAAAAATCTGGAGTAAATATTATACTATGGATACACTGAATTCATTTCCCCTGAGTTTGGGACCACATGAGCTAAAAACATCTCACTATGTCGATTTTTTGGAGGTTTTCACCAATCGTAGTAAGGCAAGAAAATGATATAAAAGATATAAGACTATGAAGCACAAAATAAACAAAACTGACCTTATTCATAGATGATGATTGAGATTATACAGAAAATCCAAAAAGATTCTTTAATACGTTGTTGAAATATCCATTTACAAAGTTTCTGGACACATAATAAACACGCAAAAATCTTTTCCATTTCTTCATACCATCAAAAAACAGTTAAAATGAAATATTCTTTTAAAAAATGAAATTTCCATAACCTCAAAAGACATCAAGTATCTAAAAATAAATCACACACAAAAAAAGTATGCAGTACCTTTGTGGAGAATGTTAGGAAGTCTGAAATGGCTTTAGTTTTTTTTAGCCAGTATGTATTAATTACACATTAGATATAATTAAAGCCTCTAGATATTTTTAAAAACTTAAACCATTATTACTTAAAAATAAAAATCTCAAAAAAAATTTAAACCATTATTACACATTTTCCTATTTTAGGTATGCATCCATGGTCATTAAATTCTCTAACTTCATGGTTGAATGTATTAAAATTCTCTGCTTCGTATCTAGGTCATGAATTTATCTCAAGTTGAAAAGCAACCATTTCTCCACAAAATAATCAAGTCCAGTCCTTCCTTTCATCTAGGCCAGTCACTTGTGTGTTGTGGTTTTTTTTTTAAACCAAACTATAGAATGCTATTTTCCATGTGAGCAAATAAGGGTGAGATAATCTCTTGTTTGCTAATGTGCAAATACAGACTGATAATCGATCATTCTTTTTGCATTTTCTTTGCCTAACAAATTTGTGCCTGTATCTTTAGCTATGGAAGATAATCTAAAGCCACTTATAGTTATCAAAACATGGTTAGGACAACAAAAAGTAAAGCAGATGCTAGACTATACAACTGGAATTTTCTTCTACAGTACCTTACTATTAATTGAAAGTATTTGGATGTAAGTAATGGGTCTAAGTTGACTTGATTTTATAAAATTAACTAAAATTAACTGTGTGCATGTTGTATGACCCAGTCACCCAAAAGCAAATGTTGGATTTATTAAATATGGTTCCTAGAGCCAACAATAATTATGCAGTAGGTAAAGGGGCCTTAGAGAAAAGTTGGCTTGGTTTCCATGAACAGAAGCAGATGGAGTTGTGAAGAAGAGCTCCTGTGGATTATAACACAGTTGGTGCTAAAAAAAATTTTTTTCATTAGAAAAAAATATCTGATATCTAGCCCTACCTTTATGGCTCTCCCAGAGATTAAAAAGATATGGATCCAAAATAATTCAGACATAGTCCTTATGGAGCCATTTTATACTATGTCACCTTTAAATTGTGTCTACCCTATGGGTGACCTTTAAACTTGGCTGTGAGGTGATGAGAGACTGCATGATTGGGCCATTGGTGCCATTTTGATCTTTTCTAGTTGTCCCCAGCATCCAATATCTGAAGTTTTTTCAATATGTATGGTGTTAAGAATACACAGTGTGAACACAAGTTAGAGTTATCAAAACAGACCTCAAATCCCTGCAGTTAATCTATGGGGATTTCTGCATATATCACCCTTGCCTCCCGATGTGGGGTATGGATCTGGTCAGTGAAGTTTGCTGTTGTTACTGTTGTTTTTTGTTTTTTCTTTCTTTCTTTTTTTTTAAATTTTTAAATTTTTAAATATTTTATTTATTTATTCATGAGGGACAGAGAAAGAAAGAGACACAGGCAGAGAGAGAAGCAGGCTGCATGCAGGGAACCAGAGGTGGGACTCGATCCTGTATCTCCAGGGCCACGCCCTGGGCTGAAGACAGCGCTAAACCACTGAGCCACCTGGGCTGCCCAGTATCTATCTTTCTTTCTTTCTTTCTTTCTTTCTTTCTTTCTTTCTTTCTTTCTTTCTTTCTTCTTTCTTTTTATGATCTAAAGTTATAGCTTCACCTCTAAAGATAGGCTTTGTCATAATTTTTGATTATTTTGAAATTGACACACATTTTAATTCACAACTAGA